GTATGATCTCAAGTATGCATAGTTGTAAATTAGTTCCACTAACTGGTAAATGGCTTGCTTTCTAATGATCAATATGAAAATATCCATCTTTTTTTACCAGAGCATTTCTCGGTTTCATTGCTTGACACTGGTTTTTTTTTTTAATCACATATTGAGGTTTTTGTTGAAAGAATAGGACTGTCACACTCAATCCTCTGCAAACCACCGAGATTCCTTCCCAAAAAAGGTAGAATAGGAAAGGCAGGCATTATGAATTATCATCTGTATATCTTGCTGTTTGAATTTGGCACATCTGTAATACTATGAAGTGGAAGCACTTGAATGATATTGCAGATTGCAATTGGAGCCATCATAAAAAAATGCTTTGTAATATAAGAGTAAATTAGGTCCTTGAGCAAAATTCAGATGAAACAGCCTCCTCAGGTAAAGCAGCCTATAATTGACAAAGAATTGTAGCCGTGGGGTTTGACAAGAAATTACACCAAGTGATGAGCATTAAGGTTCAGCTCACAAAACTATCAGATCATCCTAAGGCAATGTAGAAACTAAGGACTTTAGGGCTAGTTTCAAATGTAATCAATACCTTATATTTTGTCACAAAAATTAAAAGAAACCATTGCATACACTGAAACTCAGAATAATATAATAAGTACTTTGAATTATGTCAAAGACAGTAATTGACTCAGAAACAATGAGAAACTGGCACATGGGTTAAAACACAACTTTAATGCACTCATGATTATTCCATCAGTGCTTGTGCACATATTCATGCACAGACACACAACTTCTCACTATACAAATAAACCCCATGCTCATTTATACTGCTGTTACTCGTTTTTCTTTTAATAACAGCACAGTAACCAAAATTACCCGCAGTTCATGAAAAATAAATTGTATATTTAATATTCTGTTAGCCCCTTAGTTTATTCTTAGTTCATGTTTAATATAATGTTGAATGAATCTTAAATTTAATTTTGCAAAGAAGATCCATGCTGTAATTACTATAACATAAATAAATTAAAGCTAAGTTTTGCTATGCTGTGTGCAGTGCGCTACTGAGAATTATGATCCAATTTCATTTTTATGCCAATAGATATTGCGGGAAATATATTGTTTTTGCTTTTCCTGTATATGTTTCGTTTCTTTTGACAGGTTAGGAGAAACAAACAGAGCTTTGAATTCCAAAATTAATGGTGAAAAGGATACGATGCAGGGAGAGAATGTGTACATGAGCTATGAATAAAAGTTTTTCTTTTGAGTGAAAGCAGTCATCCAGACATGGTATAACAAACATTAAGCAAATACACCATAATCATACTTCATTTCAATTTATGTCACATCCTGCACCCACTAAGCAATATTGCTTTTGCTCTAGTGAACCACATCCTGTTTGAAATTTCTGACCACTTGTTTCAGGGACCAGTTAATTTATTCACTTACTGCGTCATATATGTACCAGAAACCATGATCTGTTAGTGATTCATTGATAGTAGAGTTCATTCTCATTTCAATTAACTGATACCTTTGGAATTCATTATTATTGGGCAGGGACAGTCGTGTTTTGTAAATGAGTAATAAGGAACTACTTTTATATTGTTGTTGCTTTTTTTATTCCTGCTTAATTTAGTATAAGGTAGAAGCATGTTAAGCCTCTGGAAATCGGGATATATTATTTCCTCTCTTGTTGAGCTGTCACGTTTCACAAAATTAATGGCAAAACTGCTAATACCTGTGGATTTTATTATGATGAGAGAGAGGGGAAGTGCAGTATTTTCACTTGTCTGTCAATGGGCGTGGGAAATTATGAGACAGAACAAAATTTGGGGAAATAATGTATAAAAGATGCAGTAGCTCTGTTTTCTGGGTTAAGAACATAAGAAGTGTTCTGCTAGACTAGTGACACGATCTTCCCTAGAGATGAAGATGTCCCTTGAAGTGTGTAGGATTGTGATCTTACTGCTGTTGATGAAGAGGCTGGGTCCGATAGGACTTGTGTGCCTAAATATCTGAAGAGATTCAAACAAAAGAAGAGTTTCTGAGTCCATTTCCAGCCAGTGGGATAGTCACAAGAGCCCACAAACAAGACAGAGAATAGCAGCCTCCCCTGTTTCTTCCCAACTAGGCAGATTACAGATAGTCCTCAAACCATGACTACAGTGGGGACCAGAATCCTGTTGCTAAGCAAGGCAGTTGTTAAACGAATTGTACCCAATTTTACAATTTGTGCCACAGTCGTTAAGCAAATTGCTACAGACGTTGATTCCTGCAGTTGTTAAATGAATCTGGCTTCTCCCATCGATTTTGCTTATTGGAAGCCGGCTGAAAAAGTTGCAGATGGCATTCACGAGACCCCGGGATGCTGCAACCTTTGTAAATACTTGTCACTTTGCCAATTTTGATCATGTGACTATGGAAACGCTGCAACAGTAGTAAGTGAAAGGACTGATCATAAGTCACCTTTTTCAGATATAATTTGCATATGCAGGGGTGTTTCTGTTCTGGATTTAGCCCATGTTTCAAGACAGGCCATTCCTGCCATCCACTCATGTGATTCGGGATCACTTCTGAATTATCATTTTGGAAATAGTGCAGAGCGCCTCTGTGGATGTAAAAGGCTGTCTGCTACAGAGGCTTTTTAGGAACCCTTGAGGGAGTGGGAGCATGACTTTGACTGCAGGATAGGGGCTAAACCTACAGTCCTGTATGTCTTTGTAATATCATTGCTCTTTCACACAAGCGACGCCTAAGCAAGTCTGTAGCCCTCCTGACATCCAATTAGGCAGTCACTGAATTATTGATACTCTGCTTATTACTGGTTCCATTTTTAAACACTGCTTCTTGTACAACATTAGAAGAGGAGAAAAAAGAATCTTGCACTAGCGGGCTGTGGTTCGTAGTCAGTGTTTGGTAGCTGCGTGGAAATCTTAAAAAAAAAAAGAAGAAGAAGACATTCCTTTCAGTGTGAAAGAGCAGTATGAATTCTGGAAGCCTCTTTGTGTTCTTCCTTTTCTCATTAAGATTGATTTCGTTAAGCTGACTGAAAATATCAAGCCATCCATTAAGGCCTATTGGGAATGCTTTGCCCTCTCTCTTTCCCTCGTTTGATCTTCTGTTTTGCTATGATCTTTACTTTTGCTCTTTAAGGTTATTAAAAAAAACAGGACAATTTTGGTCAGAGATTGGTGACTATTCATTAAGACGATGATACTTTTTCAGCTGCTGTTTGGACTTAAGTGCCTCATTAGGCTTCCTCCTTTCTCTATTCCCCCCCCCCCTTTATATTTTTGGGCATCAGCAATGTTTCTGGTAGTCTAAGAGGTATAATTTATCTGCACAATCCCATCAGTGCAAAGCAAATTATCTCAGCTTTCTTTGTGGCTCATGTTTTTCGGCCCCTCTAAGACAGTCTGAATCCTGGTTCTGGAGCAAATGCATATGGGGTGCGAGTTCAGTCTTGAAAATGGGGGATATGCCAATGGAGGTGAATAATGAGGAGGAATCTGTGCTGAAGCAGCTGAAGGTGGCATAACCCTAGAGGATAATTCATATGCTGAATCAGGAGCAGATGTCAATAGAGACAGCTTGTCTGAGTATTTGGATGCTGATTCAGTAGCAAGTTGCATTGATGGGATAGGCTTGTCAGACAACCTGTTTGTAAAGACCAATGTTGACTATAAAAATGGTGGGTTGTTAGAGGGAGGTGACATTTTCCTGGAGGCAATAAGCACAGAAGAAACATCTTTCAAAAATGACAACGCAACAGATTTTTCAGGAGAAATCCTATCAGCAAATAGATTTTTTTTTAAAGGCAGAGAAATATTTTCCAAATACTTGAGACACCTCAGTGTGGCCATATTGCTTACTCATCATGCCAAAATGCAGAACTGAAGTTTTTTGGAAATGCAGTCTTGGGGTGAAGCCTACCAGCCCACTCAATTAATAAAGGAGCTTCCCACCATTTGGAACAGTATTAAGTGGGCATATATCTGCTGTGGAGTTTACTCTATGGATTAAAAATATTGTGTTTATATTAGATTATATTCACCAAAGTATAGAAAACTATTTTGGGACAGTAAGAATCCTCCAGGTCAAACTTGCTGATTGCTCGGAAAGATACATTGATCTGAAAGGTACATCCTTATTAGGGAATTATTATTGTATTTTACTAATCTTTATTGGGGGTATAGCATGTAGAAGATTATTAATTCAAGTATGCATACAATTAAGCATAAACCAAGTAGCAGTTAGAGTTACAAGTTGAGGGTGACTACTAAGTGTTCTAATGTCCACTTAGTAATTTACTCATATTAGATGCATCTCTCCCTACCTCCCCATCACTCCAGGACTGCAAGTTTTGAACATGGTACCCAAAGTCCTTCAAGGATTGCTTCTGACTGACTATTTTAAATGCAATAGAAGGAAGATGCCTTAGATCAGTGTTTCTCAACCTTGACAATTTTAAGGCATGTGGACTTCAACTCCAGAATTCCACAGCCAGCAATGCCTTAGATTCATAGGGAATAATATGAATTAAGTTAATTTATTTATTTTTTTGTTCTGTTTTTTTGTTCCGATCCATCTGCACTTTACACCTGCACTGTCCTCAGAGGTAAGTTTGGCATATCACAGTTCTGTTGTAGGGGTAGAGGAAGCTACCCTACTTACAACCCATAGCGACATTATAGTTTAGCATTTTCTGGAGGATCCCACTCTTGCTAATAGCATTGAGTATACCTCACCTGGGTTCATTGTTTATGATAAAATCATGTTTTCACAATGATTTCTAAATTTAATATGAAGGCGTATTAAATGAGTCAGTTTGAAAACTGGAAGCAAGACCAAGAAAGGTTCTACTATGGAAGAGTCTTGAAGAAGACAGTAAACAAATTGTATAGATAAGGTTCAAGGGGTTAAAAAAAGAAGACCAAAAGCAGAGAAGGAGAAATAGTTTTGTCTGAGAATTCCTGCCCTTTACTAATGAACTCTCTTTATTTACACAGGAAATGCCATCAGACCAATAGCTCTTCGAGCTGTTTCTGCAATTGCTAAGGCTCTTCCTGGTTTTCCTATCTTAGCAACCGGAGGCATTGACTCAGCTGAAAGTGCCTTGCAATTTCTTCATAGTGGTGCTTCTGTTTTGCAGGTATTATTTCTCACTCTCTCCCCCCCCCCCAATCTCCTTCATTTCTTCACCTTTTCTCAGCCATCGTTGTCCATTGTGTATTTAATTTATAATCTATCTTTCTGCCATAGTTGGCCTAGCTGTAGACATGAATAAAATATGTTAAGGATTGTAAAACGTAAGTTGGAGATATTAATCATTATAAACATGAAATCTAAAATAATTGCACAATGCCAGTATCACAAAAACTGTTTATAAATATTGGGTGGATCTATAAAGGAAATGTTATGTACATTTTGGTTATTGCTCTTTGACGAGGATGTTATAGAACTGAAAACACAGATGAAGGTAATTAAAATAGAAAAAAAAATGAGCAAGAATCCTATGTATAACATGTATTTGCTATTTTAAAAATAGAAAATAAACCGGTATATGAGGGAAGTTATTAAAATCATGGATGATGAAGAAAAAGTAAATGGCTTCCCCCTATTTCACAATAGCATCTGTGTTTATACAGTGAATAAAATGGTAAAAAGGTATTAAAGATAGTTAAAAGAAAGTACTGCGTTAGTAACCCATTTAATTAGCAATGGTGTATCCATAATCTGGAGAGCTTTAAAAGGAGATTAGAGAAATTTATTGAAAATAAGATTATCAATGGATAATCATTATAGAGATGTATTACTTCTAGTATTAGAGTAGTATTGCTCTTAATACCAGATGCAAGACTAGATAATAGGAATCTTGCTGTTATATTCATATCCTGCCTGAGGCTTGCCATAGGCATGCTGAACTTGATAAACCTTGGGTCTAATCCAACAACATTCTTCATATTTTATTTTGATTTCAGACAATTATCTTTCAATTTACTTTATGGCAATCATCTTAGAAAGCTGGTAGAATATAAACTAGCATTGTTACAGTTAGATGGATTTAGAATATATAAAAAGAGCGTTCATCAATTGTTTTTCACCAGTCCCAAGAAAATGGGTGTCATAGAATTCTGGTTAACATAAATTAGTTGAATGATGGAGATGCTCATTAGCTCTACAAATAATAGAGCTTCTTGATCTGGACTGAAAAAAATCTGGATGATCACTAGACCGCGGTAAAACGATATATGGAAAATAACTCTTAATCTATTGTATAACATAGTAGAAAGAGAGCTGTATTTTTAAAAGTCAGCAGTCTGATAACACCTTTTCCAATTAGCACATCTCCAACCAATACAAAGGTTTATGTTTTTTAAAATAAAATTTTCTCAATTTTTGGCATTTTCACTTGTAGCAAACACTTATGGTATCTAAGAGGTAATGATGGGATTGATTTAAAAAAAACAGATGGAAGGAGAAAACAGTCAGAAAGGGAAATTCAAGACCTGCTGCTTACAACTTTCACCAGGAAATTAAAATTACTACAGAATAGAATAGAATAGAATAGAATTATTACAGAATAGAATAGAATAGAATAGAATAGAATAGAATAGAATAGAATAGAATAGAATAGAATAGAATAGTCTAGCACCCTGCTCAAGCAGGAGAACCTATACCTATATCAATAAAAATACAGAAACTCAAGACATATAGGAATTGGGAAAAAAAATACCAGACTCCAATAGGAAGAAGTGGAATTGTCAATATTAAAAATTCTTTTTTAAAAAAAGCTCAGAAAAATACAGTGTTAATATGTTTGTTTAAGGCCATATTTAAAATGGTGTCAGTTGCCTTAAGGGGTTGAAATTTTTTTTCTGGCAACAAAACAAAGTCCCACAAATTTAGCAAGATTCTGGAAATCGCATGAAATCTCTCACAACTACAACACTGTGTAACATTTGACAAACATGTGAGGATTCCTCTGTAAAAAATATCAGTTTTGATAACTCAGACACTGTTTAGGGCAGCGGTTCTCAACCTTTGTGTGACGGCGACCCCATCACACGGACGCGCTGCACATGCGCGGTGCAGCGTGCATGCGTGGCGGCGCCCCCATGCGCAACGCACATGCGCGGCGGCGCCCCCTGAGGGGGGAAAATAGCGGATCGCGTTGTTGGGCGACCCCCGTAAAATGGTCATTCGACCCCAAATGGGGTCGTGACCCATAGGTTGAGAACCGCTGGGTTAGGGCTATGGAAGTATGGGGTCTTGTTCTGAAAAATCCTTTAATCTTTTAATTCCTAAAATCTCATAAATTATGAAAAGCAAGGCTGTTTTAGAGAGAGAGAGAGAGATTCAAATATTAAATTAATGTTTTAAATATATACTTTTCTAGCCACAGATAAAATTACATTATGGAGCAGATTCTCACATTTAAATAAAAATTGCTTATATTGTCAGAAACTTTAATTCTGAGAATATTATAAACAAAACTCCCTACCCCCAACCCCCCACCCCCATTTTGTACTCTTGATCTAGAGCAGCACTGAGAGCAGTATGAGAAAGAAAGAAAGAAAGAAAGAAAGAAAGAAAGAAAGAAAGAAAGAAAGAAAGAAAGAAAGAAAAGTATGATCAGCAGGGGAATATTCCATTGATTTCATTTATGACTACTAATTAGAACTGAACCTCAACCAAAGGAGTGTATGACTCTTACAATTTGTCACACTGCCCCTGAAGATTTCCATTAAAATGTTAGATTAGCTGAAATGTATTATAGTATTCCTTCCAACTTGCTTAAGGATTTTGATTTGACTTCAAAAATTGATATCTTGATTAGTTTGTTAATGTGTAACTTGGCAGAATGATTAGATGGGTGAACGGGTTTGTTATTAATTTATCTGAAACTTGCTTATAATAATACATTTTAAAAATGTAAAAGAATCGAGAGCCAAAAAAAACCTTCATAATAGATTGGCTTTCTTACTATCTTTGGAGAATCACAAGAAAAGGAATTAGTGAGGCAAGACCAAATCACTATAATGCATGAGAAAAGATCAACAATTTTCTTTTTGCAAAATTATTATCAAAAACTTCAAGGTAGGATAATTTTATGTAAAGTGCAATAACAGCACTGTTTTTAAAAATACCGTATTTGAAGAGTTCTGATTACAATTCCATAAAATATTCTTTTACAGCTACTGTTCCCTTCAATGCCATTTGTGCAGGACTATCTACAGATGCACAAATCAATCTAATTTAAATTGAGCATCTTTATGTCTCATTGTTTTCAAGAAGAGAAAGTTAAGCAAATAATTAGTTATCCCATTAATAGCCAACAAAGCATAAATAGGCTTAACTTTAGATGTGTTCTGATTACTTTTTAACAAACAGTGCAATGCTTTATATGTGGAATGAGAGAAGAATTTGAGGTGAAGGAGTCCTGGTAGACTCATCTCAAAGAGAGCATCTTATTTTATTCATGGTTAAGTAGTTGATTAGGTAAGCAGAATATGGATATCTCACAAGCACACATTAAAAGAGTCCAAGATTGAGTTAACTGAAAATTACATTTTCCAAAAGTAGGGTAAGGAATTCTCTGGCCCATAAGATTGTAGCAAAATTGTTAACAATTTTGGGGTTGAAATGATCAGAGGTCAATTAAATTTTGTTACATCCCTACCTTATGAAAGAGTCCATACTGAAGCCAAGTATCTATCTACCAAGCAGGAGCAAGGGGAGGGTCAAAATTTCCCAAAAGTCAGATGTAGCTAGTAACAAAGCCATAGGAGATTCAGCTCTTTTGTTCATCGGAGGCAAGGTGCACAAAGTTACACTTTCACAACAGGGCCAAGATTTAGATATTCACAGAAAGAGCCTTTATACGATGAAAATTGGCCCCTACTACCCAAACACATTTTACACTGGTCAACTCTGATAGAAGGATATGATCTATTTCATAGCAAGAAATTTTCTTTGAAATGACAATTTATCCTAAACTTGCCTATTGCTCCTTTTCTCACTTGCTTTCAACACGGTTGAATGTTGAGAATGTTCCTTTAGTCTGAGTGCCTAAGACTCAGAACTGAATCAAGTTATATAGATGCAGAATCAATGGGGCATTTTTAGCTTGATTTCTCTGATGCCCAGAATGCATCAGAGGTGCGTCTTCACATTCCGTCTCTTCCTCTAGAGCCGATTTCTAGCCAGGGCTATGACGGAACATCAGATTTTCAGTAAATGAAACGAATTCAGAGACCAATAGAATAATATGGCTGTGAAAACTGATTCACATATTATAGGAAATCTAGTACCGGTAGCTGTTTCCAGAGCAATCAAGTTACGCGGTCTGCTTTCCCTTCACACAAACAAAAAAGTCCTACTCTTCTATAACCAAAAAAAAAAGCACAAGAAAACACATTTGAAAGTTGCTGCTTTAAATTGCCTCTGTATAGGTTTCTCATTTGGAAGTAGAATAATCATTGGAATTCCTGTGTTGTATCGTTATCCCTCTTGCATAGAAATATTATTAATCAGAACTGAAAAGCTTATTCTTTGGATTAACTGTTCTGGCTGCTACAAGAGAAATATGCAGTTAGTCTAATGTTCATTACAGAGAATTCAGACATTTTATTTAGGAAGTGACTTCTTGATAGAAAGTTCATGAATAGATTAGATAAATTAAAGTAACGAAGGCAGAATTAGTTATCTTCGCTAGGTTACTTTATTGTAGAACTCAGCTAGGTTATTTTATTGTAATTTCAAAGGAAGCTCTATACATCTGATCTAGCTACTGTTCTTCAGAGTAATCAAAATGTGCGTTTGTATATACACACACACACATAAAATTTGTATATATATACACACTAAAGTATAAACTTTGTGTGTGTGTGTGTGTGTGTAAATAAAATTCCCTTCTCACTCTTATAGGTGGTATGTGTCTTCCTCAATCTCAGATCCTCTACCAGAGGCCTAAGAGTTTGAGATTTCTGCATAGTATCTTAACTGTACCTAACACTACAGCCTTCTGGATAGAAAGCTCTGATGTCATTCCTGAGATCTGTTGGGGCCACTCTCCCAGTCACAGCTCCGAGTGGTCCTAGCCTGATGCTGGAAGCTGCTGCTTCCTGTTTGCCATCTTCATTCTTAACT